GGGTATATAAGTATCTATACCCTATTATGATATTGAGTAATCACTCTGTGATTTTCCCACACATGCTAATAAATCTGTATGCTTTTTCTCCAGTTTTTCCTTTTGTGAGTTCATTTTTCATTGAAACTTTAGAGGGGGAAGGGGAAGCTTTCCCTTTGGCCTCTGCAGTAATTTTATACAATATTTTTTATTTTATTTTATTTTATTTTATTTTATTTTATTTTATTTTATTTTATTTTATTTTGAGACAGAGTCTCACTTTGTTGCCCAGGCTGGAGTGAGTGCCGTGGCATCAGCCTAGCTCACAACAACCTCAAACTCCTGGGCTCAAGCAATCCTGCTGCCTCAGCCTCCCAAGTAGCTGGGACTACAGGCAATTGCCACCATGCCTAGTTAATTTTTTCTCTATATATTAGTTAGCTAATTAATTTATTTCTATTTATAGTAGAGACGGGGTCTCACTCTTGTTCAGGCTGGTTTCGAACTCCTGACCTCAAGCAATCCGCCTGCCTCAGCCTCCCAGGGTGCTAGGATTACAGGCGTGAGCCACTGTGCCCGGCCTATACAATATTTTTAAATAATTTTTTGCATGAAGCAAAGTTTTGACTGTGTTTTGAGTGCAGCCCATCACATGAAGTCAGGCGTGGAATTTTCCACTTGTGGCGTCATGTCAGGCTCAAAGAGTTTTGCATTTTGGGGCATTTCAGATTTTGGATTTTTAGATCAAGTATGCTCAGGCTATATCCATGACTGGGTTTAGAAGGGTGTCTGTAAACTCCCAGAAACTGTATAAAAATGTTATATATGTGTTTATTTTTCTCAAGAGAGGAGCCATGGCTTTAACCAGATACTTATACGGGCCTGTGGCCTTTAGAGGGATAAGAGCCAGGGTCAACAGGTCCTTGCACAGCAACAACTAGTAGCAACAGCAGACACTGAAGCTCAGTAGGATCCAGAAAATGTTCTCCTGAGTCTCCTGCAGAGCAGTAAGAGAGAAGATTCTGGGATCTGATTATACCACCTGGTTTATCTCTCTAAAGGACTTTCTCCAGGAAAGATAGCTAAATTACACATAAATCAGGAGAATTTGTTCCTAGTAACCACAGGGCCCCTCTATGTTAGCTTCTGGTAATGATGTAATACGTTACTTTTCCAGGGTGGGTAAGTGCCTTAACCCAGAAGAATGAATCCACAGTGACTGGGCAGGGAGGTCTTTCTGATGACTTGACAAAATTCCACCTGGGGTAGGGACTTGGGGGGGTCCCCCTCTGTGACATGTCTGCCTGCTCATGCCCTGTATTGTTGGCCTTTAAGGGTTAATAACGTCATGGGATGGGGGAGGGGTGTCCAGGGAGGCATGGAAAGTCTTTTTCATAGTAATTTGCAGTCTGACCTTTAGCTGCAATTTATCCCTAGTGCTGACTGTGGATCTATTAACATTTGCCCTGGTTTTTTTTTATGTTAGGCAGTCTATATCAAGAAGCAGTATGGCAATTTACTGACCTCAAACAACTTGAACCCTTAAAAAGAATTCTTCAAAAGTGGCAATTCAGGTTCCCATAGCAAAAGCTCTCAGTCTAGTTCAAACACAATCAAACGCTAACAAATTACTCCCAATTAAACCAACAACAGGACTAATCCATCTTAGTGTCAATTAAATTAAACAACAAACAAAAACCTTTAGGTGGTGTTTTACTCTGCTCTAGAGGTGTTAAGCACTATAAGACTATGAGGTGAGTTTGGAGGAGAAAAACCTATTGTTAAATCGCAAAGGAGATGTGATTGGCATAATAAAGAACTGTCCTTGAGCTGGGCATGGTAGCCCATTCCTAGAGCCCCAGCTACTCAGGAGGATTACTTGAGCCCAGGAGTTCCAGGCCAACCTAGGCAACATAGCAAGATCCCTTCCCTCTAAATACAACTATCCTTGAGAATGGAAGGTTTTAGCATTTACTGAATTACCTAGAGTTCATAACATAATGACCAAGGCCTAAGTTCCCTTGGGAAGGTCATATGTTTTTGTTAATACTTTATTCAATTTATCAAGTATGGGCTGGGCGGGGTGGCTCACGCCTGTAATCCTAGCACTCTGGGAGGCAGAGGCGGTGGATTGCTTAAGGTCAGGAGTTCGAAACCAGCCTTAGAAAGACCTCGTCTCTACTATAAATAGAAGAAATTAATTGGCGAACTAAAAATATATATATAGAAAAAATTAGCCAGGCATGGTGGTGCATGCCTGTAGTCCCAGCTACTTGGGAGGCTGAGGCAGGAGGATTGCTTGGGCCCAGGAGTTTGAGGTTGCTGTGAGCAAAAGCTGACGCCATGGCACTCACTCTAGCCTGGACAACAAAGTGAGACTCTATTTAAAAAAAAAAAAATTTATCAGGTATGCACATATTCAAATACGTGTTTCCAAAGCATAGTTTCTCAAACACCTAAAAACACCTGAATCATAATCATTCAGGAAACCTGTTAAATACACAGATTTCTGGATCTTACCTTGTTATAATGGATCAGAATTTTTGGAAGTAGGGCAAGAATCTGCATGTTGTACAAAGATCCTGGGTGATTTCGATGTACTCTGAAGTTTTGTTACTATGGCTTTAGAGGTTAGCTTACCCTGCTGCCCATCACAGCTCCATCAGAAAAGGATTGCTGTAAGCCAGGTGTGGTTGCATGTGCCTGTCATCTCAGCTACTCGGGAGGCTGAGGCAGGAGGATGGCTTGAGCCTGGGAGTTGGAAGCTATAGTGCAATATTATCGTGCCTGTAAATAGCCACTGCACTCTAGCCTGGGCAACATAGTAAGTCCCCATCTCTTAAAAAAAAAAAAAAAAAAAAAAACAGAGGCTGCTGAGCCTCTGTCTAGACACCTCTAATGAGAGAACTCTTACCAATATGAAGGTCGCTCAGCCTATGGGTTTCAAAACCTACTTCCTCAAACTTCAAATCCAACCAGACCCTACCATCCAGCTCTGGCAAATGCCACAAAGAGGGAGTTTATTCCCTTGGCCACATGCCATGCCAAGCCCCTCAAGAATTTAGGGCCACTAGCTAACATGTACACCCACACCCACTGCAGCTTTCCCTTTCTATTCAAAATAGTTCTATTAATAGTTCATTCAACTACATTTCATGTGTCAGCTTGCTTGACAAGAAGAAAGTTGAACAAGAAAAGAAAAACATTTGATCAAGATTTAGTTAATAAGCCACAAATCCCGATCCCAAATCACTATGAACCAAGCACTGATGGAGTCTTACGAGGAGGGCGGAGAGGATAAAAGAACAAGCTTTAGCATCCTGGCAGTGGGATTTAAGCCTCAGGTCACGAGTGGTCTAAACTCAACTAAGAACCATGACTTGGAGCCTGGGAGCTCTCATATGTAAACCCATGTTAATAACCCCATCTCAGGTTGAAGTGAAGATTAAACAAAATGAGTGTTATTCAAAGTTGCTCCAGGGAGGACATTCGAACTGCCTGCATACGTAGCCCTAATTGCAGTGAAAACAAACCCTCAAGGGCTAGGTTTGGGCCAGATCATAGCCCAAAGCCCAAGCAAAACACTTTTCAAGTTTCTTGTTTTAGATTAAAAAGGTATATAATTTTTGGATTCTACTCCAGTGTTTTAATCCTCAAACATTTGGGTAAAATTGATACCCAAGGAAAATCCCACCCTCCCCCTTGTTTATCCTGAAGCTTCAGGTAGTCCCTGGCACTTTACCCACCAGCCCCAGTACCTGCCATTCACCTTGATCTCCCTTGGAGAAGAACAGGTTTAGTCTACAAACAGACATGCAAGATCGGGCAGTGGCTACACATTAACAAAGAAATGCTGCTAAACATGGGTCTGGGGATGACCAGGAGGCTCACCCTTTAAATGCTGAGGGCTACTGTGGTCCAGCTTGACTGTGCATGTTACTCTCTAAATTGCTTTCAAAGAAAAATTATCCCTAAGCAAAAGCAAAAACATCTAGGGGGGAATTTCACAGATGCCCTTGATCTAGTAGTTGCGTGTTTGTGCATCCCCATGCATGTATGTATGTGGGGTAAGGGGTGTACTTGCATGTATACCCCCAAATGAATAGAAATCTGACCTGAACTGAATGAGGATGGCCTTGGCTTGATAGGGATCAAGGAAGGCAGCACTCTTGGGTGGCCTGAGTTACCCAGTTACCCATTTTCTCACTCTCACCCCCTTCCTCTCCTACTTTCTCCCCCACCTCTCTGTCATCGGTTAAAAAGCTGGGCTTGGCTAAACAGAGTGATTGGCAAAGGAAGGGGAGGTGGGGTGTCCCGAATAACTTGGCGGAGGGCACCCTAGCCATCCTCCCCACTCTCAGATGGAGAGAGCAGATGCCGGGTTTTCATGAGAGACATGTTTACTCAGGATTCACAATGCTCCAAACCGCTCCCGGAAGACTTGCGTCGACTTGGGGAGCGCTTCCAGTTGGCGGGTTGTTGAAAAGCAATCCTCTTTGGCCCCAAAGTCTGCAGCTGGTCAAAGCCACACAAAAGAGCGAGGCTGCCATTGGCCGACTCAGAGCGTGGGCCTGAGCCCAGCTCTGCGCTAAGGGCGTCAGATACAGGAGGAGAGAAAGTGGTAAGAAACTAGCAGAAAGGAGTAAGTTTCGTAAACGGAGTAAAGGAAGAATTAAAGTAAACTGTCAGCAGTGTTAGACTGAGTTAGCTCCAGGGAACAGTAACGCAATCCTTTCTTTTTGATTCCCAAGCCCAGCACAGGGACGCAGTAAGTAGCTGCTGTGGTCTCTGACGGGCATCCGAGCTGTGTAAACCGCTCCGGCTGTCCTGCGGAGGGTGCCGGTGGATCAGGGCCGTGTTCGCCTCCCCCCTGCCCACGGGGAGCCGGCCCGGGTCTGCCCGCAGGCCGGCGGCGGGCACCCTCTCCTGGGCGCGGCGCGGCCCGGATACCCCGCGAGGCGCTCGCGGGCCGCGGCACCCGCTTCCCCGAGCCCAGGACCCCCGGCCACGACGCCCCTTACCGCTTGTGCCCAGACGGGGCTGCGCTCGTCCTCTGTGGCCGCGGAGGTCACACCCTGGTTCGGCCGGACAGCGGGTCTTATCCTGGGCGGATCCGCCCCACTTCGGGGTGGAGACTGAGCCTGAGTTCCTGGTTGTCCCTTTGCCCACGGGACCGGAAAATCCCTCCCCGAGCAAAGCGCACCTGGGGCCCAGGGTCCGGACCGCCGCGCCAGGTGTCGGGGAGGGGCCAGCCTCGTCCCCCGACCCCCAGCTGGGGCTGCACCTGGCACGTGTCCGCGCCCCAGGTGGTGGCCAGCCTCGCCCACCTGCCCGATCGCACAACACCCCCGGCATGGCCAGCCCGCTCTGACCCCCGCAGAGTGGGAGCAATCGGATTCTCGCGTCTCGGTGCCCGGGCGCCCCGCACCCTCCGAGAGCCAAGCGCGGGCGACCTCTCCGCTCCCTCCCTGCGCCCGCCGCGCCCAGCTCTGCCGCGCCCGAGTCCGCCGCGACTCCACGCTTCCTCCCGGGAAACTGCGCTCGCTCTCAGCAGCAGGCTCACGCCGAGCCCGTGGCCGGGAAAAGCAGAAAGTGAAATCTGCACATTTCATTTCCCTCTTTCACATGAAAACATACACTCCAAAAAGTTTCCAGCAGCTCCACGTCTCCCTTGAGGAATGCAGTTCCCCTTCTTGGCGCGCCCAGCAAGCCGGGGAAGCAGGCCTTTGGGACTAGGACTCGGGGCAGCCCCGACCTTTCTCTCCACACCGGTAAATTACTGAGCTTTAGTACCTGTCAGTAGCTCCCGGTTCGGCTTGGCGCAGCGCTCGCCCTTTGTAAGACAGTTCTGTGTGCTCCTACGGCATCTGCTTCCCCTGCTGGCCACACGCCTCTTGAAGCCACCGACTAGGTCCAGGTCGTCTTTGCGCCCATGTCCAGTACTGATTCTGGCACGTAGTAGGTGCTCAGTGAATGCTCGCGGAATGAGCCCACAGGCAAATTCAGATTTTATTTAACAGAGCTAGCTTTTGGGACTGTTTGTTACTCAACAGACCAAACTCCAAGTGCTTACGAACACCTGTAAAGCCAGGGAGGTAACATTAAATTATTTCATTAAGACGTGTCAAGGGGCTGGTCCAGTGCAGTGGTGTTTACAACTAATTGATCACAACCAGTTACAGATTCCTTTCTTCCTTCTCCACTCCCACTGCTTCACTTGACTAGCCTTAAAAAAAACGAAAAAGATGTATTAATGGCTATAAGAGGTGGTTTAACATAGTTTAGAATATGTGTTTTAGGATCAGATTTGTATTCTAGACCTGCTTCTTTTATCTGCTTGATAACTTAAAAGTTTCTGAGCTTCAGCTTATGAACTAAACTCGAGGAAAGGAAATTAAAGGGCAAATAGTAGGGAAAATATGAAATAAGGATAATTCATTTCCTCAGAAAGATTAGAGAGACCGTTACATCCCTTAAAAATAATACTTAAGGGCTAGGCATGGTGGCTCATGCCTGTAATCCCAGCACTTTGGGAAACTGAGGCAGGAGGATTGCTTGAGGCAGGGATTTGAGACCTGCCTGGGCAACATATTGAAACCCCAGTCTCAAAAAAACAAAAACAAGCCGGGCGCGGTGGCTCACGCCTGTAATCCTAGCACTCTGGGAGGCTGAGGATTGCTCAAGGTCAGGATTCGAAACCAGCCTGAGCAAGAGCGAGACCCGTCTCTACTAAAATAGAAAGAAATTAATTGGCCAATAATATATATATAAAAAAAATTAGCCGGCATGGTGGCGCATGCCTGTAGTCCCAGCTACTCGGGAGGCTGAGGCCACAGGATGCTTGAGCCCAGAGTTTGAGGTTGCTGTGAGCTAGGCTGACGCCATGGCACTCACTCTAGCCTGGGCAACAAGCGAGACTCTGTCTCAAAAACAAAAACAAAAACAAAAACAAAAAAATTAGCCAAGTGTGGTGGTGTGTGCTTATAGTCCCAGCTACTCAGGAGGCTGAAGCAAGAGGATCACTTGAGCCCAGGAGTTCATGGCGGCAGTGAGCTATGATCATTCCACTGTACTCCAGCCTGGGCTACAAAGTAAGACCCTGTCTAAAACACACACACACACACACACACACACACACACACACACACACAACATGCACACACTCACACAAAACAAACAAGCAAGAAAACAAAAACACCCAAAACATTTAGGTTATATTAAAACAATAAAGGTGAGGAACATAGCAGGTGCTGTTAGAACCCTGCTTAGATAATCTTCAGTAGATGGGAGTACTCAGCCCTAGCTCAATACTCCCTTCTGTAACCAACTGCCCTCAGACAAGTTGGGGAAGCCACAACTAGAGGTTGTTTTTCTGTTTGTTTTTTGAGATAGGGTCTCACTCTGTTTCTCAGGCTAGAGTGGTGTGGCATCATCATAGCTCACTGCAACCTCGAACTCCTGGGCTCAAGCGACCCTCCTACCTTACCCTCCCAAGTGACTGAGACTAAAGGTGCTCACCACTGTACCTAGCTTACTATTTTATTTTACTTTTGTAGAGACGGAGTCTCACTATGTTGCTCAGGCTGGTATGGAACTCCTGGTCTCAAGCAATCCTCCTGCCTCAGCCTCCCAAAGTGTGAGGATTACAGGCATGAGTAACTATGCCCAGCCCGGAGGCTAATTTTTAGGGAGTACATAAGGAATAAATTTGTGGTACTATTTATATTCCAGAGCTCCCATGGGATCAGGCTGAGGCTAAACTTCAGCAGAAACCATATCTTTGTTCAGCGTTTCCCTCTCCTCTATCCTGTTTCCCTTACTTACTTAGACGTTTCTCTTGAGAACACCCTCACTAAAGAAAGCACTTGCACTAGAATCCTAGTATCAGGCTTTGTTTCTAGGGAACCTGATCTAAGACAGGGTATTTTAAAAATTAATATAATTGTCGAAATTAAAGACTCAAGTCTTTATATCAAACACATGCACTTACCTCAGCTCCCTCTTGAAATCTAACTAAAGCAAGAGTAGGTTTTTCAAAAATCTCACAAGGACAAGGAACAAGAGAGGAAAAGATAACAGAAGTTTTGGAACCTGGAAAGCATATGAGCAGGTGGTAATTGACTCAGCAGACCTGAGAAAGCTGACTCCTTAGCCAGGAGCAAGAAAAGCCAAGAAGCAACATGATATTCTAGAATTTCTCCCGATACGAAGGAATGCACTGTGCTAGGTGCTTCTGAAGGTGTACACATAGGTAAGCTAAAAACAGGAGGATTTGTTGTGAGTCTGGACGAGGGGCAGTCAGTCCCCAACATTGTGCAGCTGCCACTCTCCTCTCCCACAGGGGCGGAGGCCCATTCTCTGAAGGGGGTAACGCAGGGATCTCTGGATGGCAAAGCACCACACGTAGCCAGAGTGTTATCTGAGGCCACCTAAAACACTACCCCAAAGCTTGGCGACCATGACCATTTTATCATATCTCATAGTTTTGTGGGTCTGAATTTGAACGTGGCTTGACTGAGCAATTCTTCCATTCCACGTGGCACCAACAAAGGTCACTGGGTGGTATTCAGCTGACAGCTGGTCCAGACGGGAGGATTCACGCACATATTTGGTACCATGGCAAGGAGAGCTGGAAGGTTGGTCTCAGCTGCCACTGCCAACTGGAGCACCTACAGGTGCTCTCTTCACATGGTAGTTTCATGGTAATCGGATCTTCCTCATGGAGCCTCAGAGTTTCCAGAAAGGACACTCCGAGAGACTCAGGCAGAAGTTATGAGGCCTCTTATTATCAAGGCTTGGGAGCTATTGAACATTATTTCTGTTGCAGTCTATGTGTCATGCAAGTCACCAAGGCCAGCCTAGATTCTAGAGAAGGGGATTAGACTCCATTCCTGAAGAGGGGGGGAGGTTGCAAAGAATTTGCAGCCATCTTTAATCTAGGCCACTAGTTTAACACAAGACTAGAGCTACTGTACCGAAACTGAAGAGCCATATGAAACTTAAGTTGATGGATATTGAGCTGCTTGGTATTCTTCCTCCATTTGGCTCCTAGAACACTGCCAGCCAGGATTATACTCAGTAGGATGGGGAATTTGAAATACTCTTCTCTTGAGAATCTAAGAGGAAAGACCTATAAAAACTGTAATCATTTGCTGAATGAAACTGGAGCAACCTGTTAGTAAACTCACCCTTGTCAACACCACCCTCTTACACACGCACACCCAGAGCTTCCAGGCAGCCCCAGGGATCTCACTCTTAAGGTTGCTAGACAAAATACAGGACACTTAGTTAATTAATTTGAATTTCAGGTAAACAACAAATAATTTTTTTCTGAAATATAACATACTTTAGGATGATAAGTATGTCCTAAATATTGCATGAGAGATATTCATACTAAAAATTATTTATTTTTTATCTAAATTTTAAATTCCAAAACAGGAATCCTGTTTTGTTTTGTTTTGCTAAATCTGGAACACTTAAATAAAAGCATACAGCCAAAGGTCATCAGAATTTAAGGGAAGGATCTGACATGTAAGATAAGAACCCAAAATATATAAACAGGGAAAAAGAAACTTGGAAAAAACAGATTATATGGAGAAAAGAAAATGTTGAAAAATCGATTATCGATTTCCTTTGAGAAATAGAGAGAATAAAGTAGAATAGATACACTAAAAAAGGAACACTCAGAGACCCAAATAGAGCTCTTTTACATTAAAAATGTGATAGCAAAACAAACAGACAAAACAACATAGTTGAGTGATAAGAAGATAAAGCTAGTAAATAGCCTAGAATGTATTGTCAAAAGGCAGAGAAGGTAAAGAGGTAATAAGAAAGGATGAGAAATTCGGAAAGCTAGCCCTAGACATCTAAGAAACAGAGGGGGAAGAAATCAATTAAATAATTCGCTTTTTTTTTTTTTTAGAGGTAAAGGGCATGAGTTTCCACATTGAAAGTGCTCACCCAAGCCGGGCGCGGTGGCTCACGCCTGTAATCCTAGCACTCTGGGAGGCCGAGGCGGGCGGATTGCTTGAGGTAAGGAGTTTCGAAACCAGCCTGAGCAAGACCGAGACCCTGTCTCTACTAAAAATAGAAACAAATTAATTGACCAACTAAAAATATATAGAA